TTTTTTTTTTCTTTTTAAGAAGCAAATCAGGAGGCATCGCAATCCCAGACTTCAAGTTACTTTGGTGTCTTCTTTGTAGAGTATCATGTCGTTTTCAAATAATGATAATTTAAATTCTTCCTTTCGTGTCCTTTTTGATTTCTTGTTCTTGCCTGCTCTGGCTAATGTTTCCAGAACTATGTTTAATAGGAATGATGACTGAATATCCTTGTCTTGTTCTTGATTTTAGAGTGAAAACTTTTAGTTTTTGCTCTTTCAGTATAATGGCTGTTGATTTCTCATAGATCGCTTTTATCAAATTGAGATAGACTGTTTCAATTCTCTGTAGGATTTTTATCATGAATGGTTGTAGGACTTTGTCATGACTTTTCTGTATCTATTGAGATGATCAGACGCTTTTTTCCTTGACTCTGTTAATATGGTGTATTCCATTAATTGATTTGCATGTGTTGCATCATACCTTGATCCCTGTGATGAATCCTACTTGGTCATGGTATTAATCTTCTTGATAATTAGCTGCATTCTGTTTGTCAGTATCTTATTGAGAATTTTTGCATCTTTGTTTATTAGGGAGATTGGCCTACAGTTCTCTTTCTTAGTTGGGTCTTTCTCTGGTTTTGGTCTTAGGGTAATGCTTGCTTCCAGGAATTATTTTGGGAGTGTTGCTTCACTTTCAATTTCAATACAGAGTTTGAGAAGTAGAGGTATTAGATCTTCTCTAAATTTGTTGTAGAATTCAGCAGTGACTCTTATCAAGGTCTGGGCTTTTCTTTGTTGGCAGGCTTTTAATTACATCTTCAATTGCATTTACTGATAATCGGTGTAGAATTTTTGTATTTTCTTGATTCAGTTTTGTTAATTCACCTGTATCTAGACATCTGTCTATTTGTTCTGCATTTTCCATCTTATTACAATACAAGGTCTCAAATTAGGTGTAGATGATCTGGATTTCTACAGGAACAATTGTGATTTCACCCTTTTCATTTGTACTTACATGGATTTGAGTTTTCTCTTTCCTTTTTTTGATAAGATTGGGTAAGGGTTTGTTGATTATATTTAATCTTTCAAAGCACCAACTCTTCAATTTATTGATTCTTTGAATCATTTTCTTAGTCTTTATTCCATTAATTTCTGCTCTGATCTTTTTTTTTTT